AGAAGATCTAGTTTTCCTAGACGTGTTCATCTTGCACCGCATTTGCCTATTTATCTCCTACAAAAGCCGTTCACAGAATGTCAAACTGGGCACAGTAGAAGACATATAGCGCCCCAAATGATGCAAATTTAAGTAAACTTTAATGAACTTTCATTCATACAAAGATCGTTTACAGGAATGTCGAGGTGGGCATAGAAGAAGATCTAGAGAGCCCCAAATGTTGCAAATGTAGGTAGACGTTAATGAACTTTCATTGTCACGCCGAGAACTTTCCACTCTACCCTCAAATCTAGATCGTTTTCCTAGACGTGTTGATCTTGCACCGCATTTGCCTGTTTATCTCCTACAAATACCGTTCACAAGAAGAAGACCTAGAGAGCCCCAAATGTTGCAAATGTAGGTAGACGTTAATGAACTTCCATTGTCACGCCGAAAACTTTCCACTCAACCCACAAATTTATATCGTTTTCCTAGACATATTCATCTTGCACCGCATTTGATTTTTTATCTCCTACAAAGGCCGTTCACAAGAATGTCGAACTGGGCACAGTAGAAGACCTATAGCGCCCCACATGTTGCAAATTTAAGTAAACTTTAATGAACTTTCATTCATACAAAGAGCGTTTACAGGAATGTCGAGGTGGGTCGGTTATCTACCAAAACAAAGAAATTAATGATGATGGATCCCTCGAGCACTAAAAACTCCGGACGTAAACTCACTCCACTCTCGGAATGTCCGGGTGGAGGGTGGGCTCGAGGGAACAACATCGAAGATAAAATTTGTTTTTCGAACATCTGCGGGATCAACAGCAACATTGATGCTGTTCATCACTACCTGCAATCCAATCGTCCCGCCGTGCTTTTCTTGGCGGAGACAAAAATCTCAGAGGCTGCACCGATTAACCATCTCAACTTCCCAAACTACGAGGTGCACTCCAATCTGAGAAAGAACGGGGGAGTTGTGGCTTTTGTCCGCAGCAGTCTTTCCTGCTCCAGGGATCTTTCTTTGGAATCAGACCGGAAGGACATTCTGTGGCTTCGCCTCAACTCCAAAACATCACCCAAATTTATTTGCTGCCTTTATCGCTCTCCCTCGAACCATAACTGGGATGACCTACTCGAATACCTCGCCGTCCAGATCGACTTCCTGAACATCAATCACCCCGCTTCAGAGGTAGTTCTTCTCGGTGATTTCAATGCCCATAATGAGCTTTGGTTGGGCTCAAATAAGACCGATGCAGCAGGTCGTGCAGTCGAAGCGTTCGCTCTTACTCAAGGGCTGACCCAGCTGGTGACGAGCCCTACTTTTTTCCCCCGCGTCTCGTCACACGCCAGTAGCCTGCTGGATCTCTTTCTGACCACGCATCCTGCCCCTTACAGCACTGCCGTCCTGTCCCCCCTGGGTAACTCAGATCACGGTGTTGTGGAGGTTAGGTTTCGGTCAGAAGCCGCTGTGGCCGCAGAAACTCGCACAGGCCGCAAAACTTGGCATTACGGACATGCCGACTGGGAGGGGCTCAGAGACTTCTTCTCTAGCTTTCCTTGGAGAGATGTCTGTTTCACTGACGCGGATACGTCGACTGTCTGTTCTTCAATAACCGAAATTATCCACTTCGGAATGGAGGAATACATCCCTCACACAGTGAAAGTTCCTAAACCAGGGTCCAACGGCTGGTTCAACAAATCGTGTGACACTGCTCGCCAGCAGAAGATCAAGGCCCACAGAACCTACTTACAAAACCCCACTGTAGAGAACAGACAAGCCGACGTCGAGTCCAGAAACAAATATAACGAAGCGGTTCGCAATGCCAAAACCCAGCATGATATAAAAGTTAGGCACAGGGTAATGTCGCAGCGCAATGGCAGTCGGTCTTTCTGGACGCTGGCCAAGCAGATTGAAAAGAACTTCTCACACAGTAGCCTTCCACCACTTACGTGTCAGGATGGAACTATTGTATTCGACCCAAAGGCCAAGGCGGAAGTGCTAGCCAAGATCTTTGCTGCCAACTCCACCATGGACGTCCCCACCAACGCCCAAGTGCCGTCAATTCAAAGGGTTCCCCACACTATGCGGGAGGTAACATTCAGGCATAAGACCGTAAGACGAGTGCTCTTGTCGCTCGACATCAACAAAGCTTCTGGTCCGGACTTGATTCCTGCCATTGTACTGAAGAGATGTGCAGCTGAGCTTGCTCCAGTTCTTTCGCGTCTCTTCCAGATATCTTATGAATCCGGCACCTTCCCAGAAAACTGGAAATTTGCTCATGTACAGCCCATCCCAAAAAAAGGATCTAAAACCGACCCTTACAACTACAGGCCTATAGCTCTGCTTTCTGTTATCAGTAAAGTGATGGAGAGGTGCATAAATCGCGAGCTTCTGAACTACCTCGAACGTCACAGCTTGATTAGCGACAGGCAGTACGGTTTCCGGCACCAACGATCCACAGGGGACCTCCTAGCTTACGTCACGCAACTGTGGAGTAAACTCATCCAGTCTCATGGTGAGGCTCATGTCGTTGCTCTTGACATCACGAAAGCGTTCGATCAGCTGTGGCACGCTGCCCTCTTGAGCAAACTTCCATCCTACGGCCTCCCAGAAAAGCTTTGCAGATGGGTGGCTGACTTTATCTCTGGCCGCAAGATATCCGTCGTAATTGACGGATTCTCCTCTTCATCTCACAACGTCAACGCGGGGGTTCCCCAGGGATCGGTCTTGGCTCCAACACTGTTTCTCTTACATATCAACGACCGCCTTTCCTGCACGATCAACCCAATCCACAGCTTCGCTGATGACAGCACTCTACATGCAGGAATTCAGAGTGACAAGCCGATCTCTGCCGCTGAGCTGGAAAAAAGAAGACTAGCGACGACTTCTTCTCTGACAAGAGACCTGGAGGCTATCACTGCTTGGGGACGCAACAATTTTGTACAGTTCAATGCTTCCAAAACACAGTACTGTACTTTGACGAACAAAAAGCGTCCTAGCGCTCATACAGTTTCGATGGACGGTCGAGTTCTACCAAAGAGCCATTCATTTCGGCTGGTCGGAGTCCAAATCAGCGAGGACCTGATCTGGCACGAACACATCTCTTCAATAGCTGCAGCTGCTGGGAAAAAGCTAGGCTATTTGTTTAGGGCTAAGAAGTACTTTTCTCCGCATGACCTTCTCACTCTATACAAGGCCCAGATAAGGCCTAGCCTCGAGTATTGCTCACACATTTGGGGTGCTGCCGCCCCGACTACATTGTCCATGCTCGATGCTGTCCAGAGGAGGGCGGTCCGACTGATCGATGACTCTTCTCTAACAGACAGCCTCGGGACTCTTTCGCACCGGCGGGCCGTCGGCGATCTAGCTCTTTTCTATCGCTACACCAACGGGCTTTGCTCCTCAGAGCTCTCTTCCATGATGCCGCCGCGCGATGTGCCTGCCAGACAGACCCGCCTGACTTCGGCGTCCCATCCTAGCCGTGTCAAACTTCGTACATCCAGAACTGGCCGATACGACCGCTCCTTTGTCCCGAGGGTGTCCAGATTGTGGAACAAACTACGGGAGGAAGCTTTTCCCAGTTCTACTAACCTTAGGCAGTTCAAAAATCGTATTAACAAAATTTCTTTGCGATCATCATAGCAGCCGCGGTGTTCCGGCATTTAGGCTTCTGCCTGCGCGGCTGTTTCGATATAAAAAAAAAAAAAAAAAAAAAAGAAGAAGACCTAGAGAGCCCCTAATGTTGCAAATGCAGGTAGACGTTAATGAACTTCCATTGTCACGCCGAGAACTTTCCACTCAACCCTCAAATTTAGATCGTTTTCCTAGACGTGTTTATCTTGCACCGCATTTGCCTGTTTATCTCCGTTTGCCGGAACATCGAATTGGGTGAATGCTTTCACAGAAATATTTGATAAACGTTAAAATCGAACAAAAAGGCATTCGAAATTAACAGAACCACGCCCCCCTTCTGTTGATCAATCTACTTCGGCATCCTTTTTGTTTTGAAGCTAAAAATCGGCTCCTCCTTTCATGCTTCTAGCCTCCTTGGTATTATCTCGCCATGTTGAAGGCTAATTTTATTCAAAGCAAAACAAAAGCAGTGCCTACGTTACGTGTGTTGAAAGCACTTATTTACCAGGGATAAAGTGCAAGGTGCACCAAAGTGCAAGCAAAACAACATTTTAGTTATATTGAAGGCAGCCGAGTAGAAAACGTTCCCAGTTGCAGATTTTATAGCTCGCTTGGGATTAACACTTTTCTAAACTGGCGCAGTTCATCTCACGTGATGCATAACCACACCTTATACAGGGTATTACAGGCATTGCCAAGGAAATTCGGAGGCGCTAGTAATAATAAAGCCCAACAGGACAGGTACCAGAGCCATACATAGAACAATGATTTAGTTTAAACAGTCTTTGTGACATATAGTTCAAAAATAAACAAAAAACCTTTAATAAGAATACTTATCTTTTGGTTTCCAAGAGCAATATTTTATAGTAAAACTAAGTAGAGAGAAAAGAAACTATAAATATGATTAAAAAGAGGATAAATATATAATAAAACGAAAATGTCTAAAGGGGAAAATAAGTCAAAGACGTGAGCGTTTAGCTTTTCTTGATTCCTGAAATGCACAACAGAAGATATCACAAAAAACCACAATCCTATTCGCTTTATTGCACATAAAGTTTATTGGTGCTTTAGGCAGAAAATTTGTCTGTGCCCTCTTGGAGTAAAAAGAAAACAAGACAGTCGATGATGTTACCATGAAGTAATTTGCATGAAAATATGCGCTTCTCCAAAGGGACACCAAACCTGTTCAACAATAACAAGTAGTCACATCCTCTTGGAGGATAGACACTACCACCCGTACAGCATAGATATTTCAGAAAATTCTATTGCGCTTTTCCAATATTTTTGTAGAGTTCATAGATATTCTACAAGGCAAACAATAGAAGACCCAATACAAGTAAGGAATGTCCTATGTGGAGGGTTCAGGGACAAATTCTACACATTTCAGCTACTGTATCAATATTTATTCAGAAAAAACAAAATAAGAATTTAATTCCATTTGAATATCATCCACATATCTGTACAACATAATTATATCTAGTTTGCTTTGTATCACGCTGATTTTTCTCTTCTCAAGTTCGATTCTTCCATCGTATCTAAAAATTAGAGCGATAATCTGACCACTTCCTGTGTTCCATGTAATTTTGAGAGGCTATTTCAGACGATAAGGCCATGATCTGCTTTTTCAAGCCCTCTCCTCAGTTAAGTGCTATCGTAGCGATTCATGACAATAGAGACCTTTGGCGTCCCAAATTATCAACGTGCACCTGATTCCATTAGGTTATTGTGAAGAGGATGCATACCTTTTGGAACGCATACAAAATTCCCCGAGAACTGATTTTGTTCAAAATATAAAGCCTTATCCGGTTTGTAACAGCCTCTCATCACCTGCTCACCTGTCCAGTCGAAAATGCCATCGTCGGCAAAGCCCTTTTTGATGAACAGATCCTTAAACATCTTCCGAAGGTAGTCATAGTCAGGCGTTTCGGTAAATTCAAGTCTACGTACGTATTTCAGGTACGTGGCCATTTCTTCCGGATGTCCTTCGCATAGAGATTCGACAGGAGTGTTGCGTTTAGTTTCGCCAATCTTTTGATACCGGTCCTGGAATAAGAGTCATCTTGACAATGCTTTTACTAGACGACAAACGAAAATGTTTGAATTGCAAGGTTAAGGCACCAACCATCCTGTAACACCTTACACGCGCCGCGTGGGCGCCACATAGGTCGATAGATACCTTAAGCCAATATCAGCTGTGACATCTGCACATCATATCGAAGGGGATTATGTAAAAAAAGAAACCAATTTTAACTGAAAATAACCCTCAAGTTTAGATTGTTTTCCTGGTCGTGTCCATCTTGCGCCGCATTTGCCTATTTATCACCTACAAAGGCCGTTCACGAGAATGTCGAACTGGACACAGTAGAAGACCTAGAGCGCTCCGCATATTGCAAATTAAAGTAAACTTCAATAAACTTTCATTCATACAAAGAGCGTTTACAGGAATGTCGAGGTGAGCATAGAAGAAGATCTAGTTTTCCTAGACGTGTTCATCTTGCACCGCATTTGCCTGTTTATCTCCTACAAAAGCCGTTCACAACAATGTCGAACTGGGCACAGTAGAAGACCTATAGCGCCCCACATGTTGCAAATGTAAGTAAAGTTTAATGAACCTTCATTCATACAAAGAGCGTTTACAGGAATGCCGAGGTGGTCACAGAAGAAGACCTAGAGAGCCCTAAATATTGCAAATGCAGGTAGACGTTAATGAACTTCCATTGTCACGCCGAGAACTTTCCACTCAACCCACAAATTTATATCGTTTTCCTAGACATATTCATCTTGCACCGCATTTGATTTTTTATCTCCTACAAAGGCCGTTCAGAAGAATGTCGAACTGGGCACAGTAGAAGATCTAGAGCGCCCCACATGTTGCAAATTTAAGTGAGCTTTCATGAACTTTCATTCATACAAAGAGCGTTTACAGGAATGTCGAGGTGGGCACAGAAGAAGACCTAGAGAGCCCCAAATGTTGCAAATGCAGGTAGACGTTAATGAACTTTCATTGTCACGCCGAGAACATTCCACCCAACCTACAAATTTATATTTTTCCTAGACATATTCATCTTGCACCGCATTTGATTTTTTATCTCCTACAAAGGCCGTTCAGAAGAATGTCGAACTGGGCACAGTAGAAAACCTAGAGCACCCCACATGTTGCAAATTTAAGTAAACTTTAATGTACTTTCATTCATACAAAGAGCGTTTACAGGAATGTCGAGGTGCTCACAGAAGAAGACCTAGAGAGCCCCAAACGTTGGAAATGTATGTAGACGTTAATTAACTTTCATTGTCACGCCGAGAACTTTCCACTCAACCCACAAATTTAGATCGTTTTCCTAGACGTGTTCATCTTGCACCGCATTTGCCTGTTTATCTCGTACAAGTGCCGTTTACACGAACGCCGGATTGGGTACAGTAGAAGACCTAGAGAGTCCCAAATGTTAGTGGACGTTAATGAACTTTCAGAACACTGTCTAAAAAACTTTTATTTTAAATATATCATGGAATAGCGTCAAAATAGGTGAACCAACCGAAAACTATACCGGTTATCCTGTCTTGAATCGAACGGTTCGTTTTATATAATCAAGCATACTTCATCTCAAGAAATAGGAGATAAAACTAAACCCACTTCTGACCAACCTTAAGAGTGTCAGCTTTCAGGCCTTGCCATGGCAACGATCCTCTAAGGAAATACATAAACATGTGGCCCATCGCTTCCAGATCGTCCCTCCTGGATTGTTCCCGGCCCAAATGGGTGTTGATGCTCATGTACCGCGCTGTGCCCGTCAGCGATTTATGCTCCCTGCAAAAACAGAAAGGAAACAGTCCAAGATCCCACACAAGAGGGGAACGTTTACAGCCTCCGGTGGTTAAGGATTTAGATTTGCGTACGTCTTTGAATATTGTGTACTGTAAGACTTCTATGGACTTCTTCTACCGTCTAGTTGTCGTTTTATAAAAGCTCTACATGATGCGTGGGTTGCATCGTCTCAAGTACAGCAGACGTCTTACATTTGTCCGAAGACGAGATCTTCATTGGTGCCTAGGCCTTTTTGCTGAAATTTTGTGCAAACCACGGCAACCGATCATGGATTGTTAAAATTCTTAGTGAAAATCAGTATGGATTCTTAACAGGTATCCCTTGGAAGGAATGCCAAATCGCCCAGCAATGTTTGTAAAATGTGGTGTTCCACAAGGAACAGTCTTGGGGCCACTTTTATTCAATCTTTAAATGATTTATCAAAAATTACCTGAACTGATAAAGTAATCGGCTTTGTAGATGATACTGCTACTACTCTATGTGGTCAAGGACTGGAATCGTTGAAAGAAATTATTCAAAGTGATTTCTACAAAATTGTTCGGGGGATTAATCATAGAAAATTCACTATAAGCTTTAGAAAAACATCTAAAAATATTTAACAAAGATGTATTTGCTTTTAAGGATGAAATAATATTTACAAAATTGTGACAAACGTATATAGTTGATTTCCATTCCAATTCCAAATTTTTTCTATTATTAAAATGAACGTTCTTGCCGTTTCTATTGTTGGATTTTTTGACTAAGTATTATGATTCAACGCTACATCGCTCTTTGAACACTGGAATGCCCAAAGTTGTATTTATCCTACAATAAAGTCCCTTAACAAATTACGAATATTTTCTTGGTGCATTTCTTGGTCCTGGACTAGAAAGTGTTGCAATTTGTCTGAGAAGGTTATTGTGTATCAGATTTAGACTAGTGTGTCTGTGATGGAGATAGGGCAAAACATGCCACGGACCTTGTTCTGTTTTGATATTTAATGACGGGTAAATTCAATTAAGGCAAGAACTGAGCTACAGAGCTGGCATCTGTTACTAAATGCCACTTGCTGGGTCAGCTAATTTAAAATAAATGTCATCTACAAGATCGTAGTTAGAACCAGAAAAATTAGCTGCTTTCGGTGCAAATCTGCAAGTGAGAATACTCGTAGACCCAAATCCAAAAACCCACGGTAACCAGTAATTAACGACCTATACTATGAGTAGCTGGAATCTGGAAAAAAAAATCTTACTTGTACGGTATGTGCTTCCCAGTATCCTGGTCTATATACTCTTTAGCCAATCCAAAATCAATAATATGTACAATTTTATCTTTCTTATTCCTCGATCTGCCGATCAAAAAGTTCTCCGGTTTGACGTCCCTGAAGATCAATCTTCTACTATGCACATACTCCATCCTCGCGATCAACTGATCTGCTATCAGAAGAACGGTCTTCAATCTGAACCGTCTACTGCACAGAGAAAAGAGATCTTCCAAGCTGGGCCCCAGAAGTTCCATCACCATGGCGTTGTATCTGCCACCACACGTGCCTAAATGGTATACCTTAGCGATGCCTGAAATAATTCAATAGGGTGGCCGGTTTGAATGTTGTCCGAAATTGGGACTTCCGTTCGTCACAAAGTATTGATATTAACAAAATAACAGTGGCTTACAAGCTTACCAGCGGTTTCTAGAGCTTAAAATAGGAAAAAAACTGTATATAAACATAGGTCGACAAACGTCCCCTGAAGGCACTACAGTATATTCAGATAAGAGATAGACCGGATGTAAACAAAAGGTTTGGGTGATTTTCACGCTAACGCCGCCGTCTCGACGTAAAACAGGAGCCCTCATTGGTCAATTCGCAATTAAATGCCTATGCCGAGCGGCAGAGCAGTCGTATCAAGGCAGAGTCACATTCAGGTTCAGACGTGTTACGTATGTCGTGTGCATCATTGCAATTTGATATTTCTTTGGACGTTTTCGTTTGTTATCTTATTAAGTTGTTGAGTTTGTCGTTGTTATTGTTATACCTTGTTATTGATTGTTATTGTTATCAACTGCTTGCGCAAAATGCCCAGTAGTACAGATACTGCCGATGAAGTTGTAAACTCCTGTAGTCCACCTAGGAAACGGTCTAAAAAAAGACACCTGAGTGCAGAAATGAAAGAGGTCATTTTGAATATATATAAGATCGAGCGCGAGGAGAACGAGGCATCAACCATCAAAGAAATTGTTGTGAAGGTTTCTCACAAAGTTGGGGTGTGTCGCGCATCAGTGTTTAATGTGTTAAGACAATACAAAAAAAATCACACCTTTTCTGAGCCAATGACCAGTAAACATCGCAAAAGTATTGTTAAATCATTGGATGAAGCTGATAAGCATGCGATTAGGAGGAAAGTGCATGAATTCTTCTTCAGGAATGAAATACCTACTATAGATAAAGTACTGCAGGAGGTAAATGGAGATACAACGTTGCCAAATTTCAAACGATCAACTTTCCATGCGTTACTGAAGCATTTAAATTTCAAATGGAAAAAACGGGGTCGTAATAGTTTACTACTGGATAGAGAAGAAATTGTGCTATGGAGGAGGGATTATTTAACAAAAATTGGGAAATATAGAAATCAAAACAGGAAGATTTATTACCTTGATGAAACGTGGGTAAACGCAGGACACACTACAAGTAAAGTATGGGTTGATGATTCTGTAACTTCATCCAGGAGGGCCTTTCTAGATGGACTGTCCACCGGATTAAAAAATCCAGCAGGTAAATACGAGTAATAGACAACAATCGGATGTTTTTCAAACCCTGGGAACAAGGTTCTAAACATTAATTCCAGGGGGCAGATAAAACATATTACAAGTAACAAAACTTTTATAACTTTCGATAAAATGCGTGGATGTTTTATTGTCATTTTCATTTGTTAGAACTTTTTTAAGCCATGTTTTTATGTGTTTTCGATATTTCAATAATTTTTTAATATAATCTTAAAATATGTCGAATATTATAAACTTAAAAAAAGTTACCAAGTTTTATATTGTGTACCGTTCCTAATATTTCTAATCATTTTAATTCATACTTTAAGCTTTATAAAGTTATAATTTGTTAATATTAATATTTGCGCGTATTTCAGGTTCCTGATCATTCATTTTTTAAAGGTTTATAACTTTAAATTAAATTGTGAAGCGCTGAGTAATCATACGACGTTCAATATTCTTTCTTTCAATATGACTAAATAATCCCAATTATAGCAATCTGATACTCATGTCTCAATGTTTTTTCGTTGAATGTGATGAAAACATTTGAAAAAGGTTCGCTTATTGAAATAAATCTACACCAGTTAGTACTTCGATTTCCAGGTAAAGGGAAAAGGCTCATTATCTGCCATATTGGCAGTGAGGATGGATTCGTTGTTGACGGTCTGTGGTGTTTTGAGTCTAAGAAAACTGGAGATTACCACGAGGAAATGAATGGCGAATCGTTTGAACAGTGGTTTTCAAAAATTTTACCGAACTTAGAGGAAAACGCAGTAATTGTGTTGGATAATGCGCCTTATCATTCTCGAAGAATGGAGAAGGTCCCAACAACGGCTTCAAGGAAAGTTGATGTTCAAAATTGGCTCCGCTCGAAAAATATCAACTTTGAAGAAGCAATGCTGAAAGTACAATTATTAAGAATTGTCAAGGATCACAAGGCGGAATATCAAAAATACGCCATTGACGAAATGGCAGCAAGTCAAAATAAAACTGTGCTCCGTTTACCTCCATACCATTGCGAGCTCAATCCCATTGAGCTCATATGGGCAGAGGTTAAAAATTATATAGCTAAGCACAATACAACTTTTAAATTTTGTGACCTCAAAGGACTTTTCAAAGAAGCACTAGAATTAATAACAGAGCAAAAATGGGAAAACTGTATTAAGCACGTGAAAGACAAAGTTGAAAAGAGAATGTGGGAACTGGACAATATTTTAGAGGAACAAGTCGAGCCATTCATTATTGACGTTGGTGCTTCAGGCAGTAGCGATGATGAAAGCTCATCAAGCTCATCTTTCCAATAAAAGATGTCGTTCATCAAATTCGGTAAGTTATAAGTAATTATAAAGCTACTGTATTTTTTAATTAATTATTGACATTTTTGAACCCATTTTGGCAAAACCTATTCAAGAATCTACTTTCTGACAATGTTCAACCATGCACATGTTTTTACGTTTTGAACGTTTTAATTTGGTTACATGTTTACCTAGAAATCAAAAAATATACTAATCAATATTCTAAAAGCAATTTTAAGAGATATACGATTATTTTTAATTTAGGCTAATTTAAACGCCATTTTGAGATTATATTCGACTGTATTTCACCAAACATCAGGCGGCATCCGAAGCTGGAAATCGAAGCGAAAATTTTGAAACCCTTATGTATATTTACATCATTATATATTTCTTACCCCACCCCCACATGATCCTATATCCATCACCAATCGTATACACATCGAATTGTGCTAATTTACTACAAAGTTACGCAAAGCAGCATCTACTATCTAAAATATGTACTGCGTGACTCTTAATACGTCCCTGCCGAATGTTACAGCGTTCGATGATCACGTGGTCTTGTTTATGTCCGGTCTATCTCTTATCTGAATATACTGTACGATCTTTTAAAGGGGCTCCCCTGAAGATGGATTTTCCTTAATATTTCCGAAACCCGTACACAAAATGCATGTCAGTCAGTTCTCTGTCTGTAAATCTTGGCATTTTAAATCGATTTAATAAAACTTCTGATTTTAATATAGTAATTTTACACTGCTAACAATGTCAGTTTAACGTCAAAATAAGTCATAACAAATCAAAACAACCCGCAGCCGGCTATCGAAAGCACTAGGATCAAAGTAATCGAGATCGTTCTCGAACAGATCGCTTGCCGCAGTGTTGCCGCTGCTTGCGTTTATTATGAGAATTTACGGAAGCTTCTATGATTTGTACACCTTTTTAAAATATGTCGCGACCCACCAGAATTGCCCTTGCGAGCTACCGTTCGGGTTAGGTTGGAATCTTACCCTCAGCCTGCCCCAACATCCTGTAAAACCTATATTCCAACGCCAGCTGAGGCGCCTTTGATTTCATCGGCTCCAGTTTGATGGCGACATGTTCATTGTTGTACAGATTCTTCCCCAATCGGATCTCCCCGAAGTTGCCGCTGCCTATTTTCTTGCCGACCCTGAAATTGGGTCCGACCATTAACACTCCCGAAGTGGAAGAATGTCTCGATTGCATTTCTAATAAATTACGCTGTTCTAGAATAAGAAGAAAATAGGCATCAATCAAACGTGTGTACGGCAACAAGTCTTCTTCGTTCGTGAAATTAGTTTGTTTCACTTTTGTGTAACTTGGACAGGCTATGGTAGAACCCGAAATGTCAGTAAAATAATGTGTGGTTGCTTCACTAGAAAGGTTAAGGAAAACGGATACTTTCCGGCGCTGTATATCCACGGTGCTGCATAGTTGTAACACTGCTTGAATTGACAGGATCATCGCTGTTATTTCAGCAAGTGTTAAAAAATATCGGCACGGGTATTACGTATCTTCAAAAGTGACATTATGCTGATTTTTTTTAAGTTATATTGGTTTTTGTGACATTATGTAAGTTTTTCTACAAGATGTTAACCTAGCACTAGCTGATGGCCGCTCGTGAACTCGTTTTGTAGTTGTACGTGTTGCCTAAACTTTATGATGGTTCAGTTATCAATCTTTGGCTATGATGTGATTCATGATTTTGTACGAAATTTATTACTAAAGTTTCTTTACGTGACAAACAGAACTGTAACTAAATTCAATAACGCATTTTCTCATAAATTCGGTACGAAATGAGGAACACAATTTTTATCGTGACTGGTGGCCATCTTGATGAATTTGAATTATTAACGATACTCATGGAAGTTACAATAACAAGAAGCTTGTTGATACATCAACGCCGTAGGAAAAGTTAAGCTGATGGTAGATTAAAGTTACCGGAAGTATTGTATCGTAGCTTTGGCTTTGGCGTATGGCATAGAAGTCCGCACTCTAAACGGAATCTTCATCATTGTCTCCCATACCTTTTGACCTAGACAGTTGCGGTATTGGTGATGCTTGATGCTGAGAAGGCTGTTGCTGAGTTGGCGATGTCACGTTCCCTTTGTCGCTTTTATTCGATGCGAACTTCAACTTGAAAAAGTTCATCGTTTTTATACATCTAGATCGGACTGCGACGGTCCTGGAAGCAAGTGATTCAACTTGAAGATATCAGAACCCGGCAGACGTGAGACACGCTAGCTATATATCCGGAGGAGTTTGAAATAGCATTCCACTTTCTAGGCTTCTCCCCCCAAATTGCAGTCTAAAGGCAAACATATTTGGAGCCATTTTTGTTGGAGATGCAAAAGTTGCTTGTTCACAATAACATGTTGGCTGGCTTCATCTTTAAGAAAATATTGGACAAATAGTTGGTCTCCAAGATATTTTCATCCCGCATCCGTGGACATCCCAAATCAGTGGCCTAGACATCGCGTTATATCGCAATATACGACCCAACACTCTTCAAAGGTGTCCACTCACAACATAATAGGAAATATAAAAACTTGTTTAGATCTTGCAACTGATAAAAAAGTGATTTGCTCGACAAAAAATACACCCTGGTATAACAAGAATATTAAGACAGCTCAAAATTTGAGAGACAAACAATACAATAAATGTATATTCACAAACATCATATGATGATTGGGAGGTATATAAAACTCTTAGGAATAAATGTGTACATGTAATTAGAGAAGAAAAAGGAAATTCTACGATAAACAAATCGATAATAACAAGTGCGACAGTGTAAAGATGTGGAAGACTTTAAGAAGACTGATCAATTCGAAGCCGCATGATTGTGTAAATCAAGTTCAATTCGAAAACGGTACCGAAACAAATTCTTTGGTGATTGCAATATTTTTTGGAAAGTATTGTTGATATTGTTTGTACTGCCAATGCTGCACCTGACTATATGAAAATCAGTTTCCAGGGGGAAATGTTGCATACACGTTCAAAATTTCACAGCGTATCATTGAATTATCTAAGAAAAAAAGTAAACAGTTTAAAATCAAATAACAACTGTGCCGAAATCACTACTAAAAACGTGCTGAAAAACTGTTTCGAAATTTTGCGATATCCTGTATTAAATTGGATCAATTGTTCACTGAGAAGCAGTTCTTTTCCTGAAAATTTGAAATGCTCTACAATAACACCAGTTCCCAAAATAAAAAATTCTAAAAGATGCAGCGATATGAGACCAGTAAATGTGTTACCAGACATTGAAAGATTATTAGAGTCCATAGTGCATGACCAATTAATGCAGTTTATAGAAGAAAACAAAATTTTAGTGGAGGCGCAAGCAAGTTAATGACACTATGTCATCAAAAATTGAAAATACGTTGGGTGTTCCACAGGGCAGTATCCTGGGACCACTTCTTTTTATTTTATACATAAATTACCTGCCATAGTCAAAAAATGCAAAATTCAAATTTTCGCCGATGATACTATGATTTATATAAGTACTAAAAATATTCAGTCTGGTATCTCTTATATAAATGAAGACTCGAAGCTTGTCTCAAAATGGTTAGTATCTAACAGACTAAAATTAAATGCAAGTAAAACGAAAGCCTTGTTAATCGGAAAAAAACAATGTACAAATGTTCAACTGAATATTGATGGTGAAGATATTGAATTCGTAGAAAATTTTAAATACCTTGGGGTCTTTGTTGACTCTCGATTAATTTTTGATATTCATTATGAAAAAGTTATAAATAAGATTAGTAGTAAAGTGGGATATTTATCGAGGGTGTCTGGATGTCTGAGTTCATATAGCAGAAAAATTATCTATAATACCATCATTCTTCCAAATTTCTTGTACTATTCGACTATTATATATTTAGCAAATAATTCCATTTTTGAAAGACTGCAAATTTTACAAAATAAGTGCATGAGAATACTAAATAAAGATAAATATACTCCAATTAGGCAAATGCTTAGCAAATTAAAATGGCTCAATGTAAAAATCTTGTAATGACATTCATTTATAAAAAAATAATATATTTCCATCAAGTCTAACTAATTTAACATCATCAAATGTCGACCATCATTTATATAATACCAGAAATAAAGATGACTTCCATTTAATGACCAACAAGTATAACATATGCTACAAATCTGTATTCCATCAAGGGTTGATTGAATATAATAAATTATACTCGGAGATAAAAGACCAGAAAACTTTGACAAAATTTAAAGTAAATTTGAGAAATCACTTGTTAAATCTACAATTATAGGTTGCCCAGCATTTACATCATACACCTTATGGCTTGAATTTACTAGTTCTAAGTTGTTTACAATTATTCTGTTTATGTAGCCAAATGTGCTAAATAAATCTTTCTACTACTACTTCTATAAAAACCATCGTTGTTCCAGAACAATTTTTGGAGATCTGTTTGGTGTACCAACCCCGCTCCAGTAGAAGTAGATGGTATCAGTGTAAAATTGATATACCTATAAAAAACTAATAAAAATATTTCTTACCTTAGGCGGGACTGTCCTTTGGTGATGGATATGTTGTTATTGGCACAGATAAACTTTAAGTTTCATTATATCGCTGACGAGTGATGATCAACCTGGCCAAAAGGCAAACGATTGTGGGACCAGAAAATTTTGACAAATATGATTTCTTTTGACATGCTTCATTGTGATAGCTTGTCATTTTATTTCTGGCCGGCTGAGTGTCGGTCAAGTAGCCAACTCAGTTCGCAGTAGTTCAGATAAACTAAAAGTTCACATGATATCGGGTCACTTTGATCGCTTATTCTAACACTACCTCTTGTTTAATTTTATTGCGATTTTGCGACAAATGCTACACGATGAGACGAGATGTTCCAAAACGAGATCGTCACGTGAATTTGTGGCTACAATTGACGCGATCTCATTTTAAACTTATCGTACAAAATACCCTAAATGGCCATGGTGAAATTTGGTCAAAAACTAGTCAACCGGGTATACCTGTGAATCCTATCACTAAATTGACATCGGATTCAGAATCTATGCATCCGTTTTACCTAGAAAATATCTTCCCGCCAGATCATAGACGCACAACAGTTTTTGGAATCTTTTATTAGTCGTTTTGTGACTTTCTAGGAGAATTATACTTCGGTATACGCATTGTTTAAAAGAAAGTTGTTCTGGTTCGAGGAGGTGTAAATGACCATCTCGAAAATAAATAATGAGGGTAGGGTCAGTATACGATATTTCTTAAATAAGCTATGCCTGGAGTCTACGCCTGCCGTACATCTTGAAACGTGTTTCCTACTTACAAACACGTACTGAGCAGATGATAAGCAACCCCAGCAATACAGTTCGCATCTCAATCTAGACTCAACTTGAGCAAAATATGATGTTATTAATTGATGCTCAAAACATTGATCTATATCATTGATATAGATGCTAAATAAATTGGTCCTAAAATGGATCCTTGTGGCACATCCACTTTAACAGAGGTTGATGAGGATTTCACTTGCACAACTGTATTGTCTTGTTTATGTGCCGTGGATACATATTTCAGATACTCGGATCTGGTGGGGTTTATTGAGCAAAACGTTGTGATCGCCACAGTCGACACACAGTATCCCTGTACCTGATCCCACCCGTACATAAACGGCATCATTCCAGATTCCCGAGATTCTCGTGCCTCGCATACGAAATTCCACTGAGGATGCATTCTAGCCCCGCATTCTCGGCTAGTCTCTCTACGGGTTACAACCGATATTAACACACGAATCCGGCCCCAAGGCAGACCACACATAGCTCTGTCGTGCCTCGGTCACCTTGTCTACTCTCGCATTTTTCGGTATCGGCTGTTCTATCGTACACAACGACGAACGCTACATGTGACCCATAATGAAAGTCACTTTAGTTGTTTTAAATAAAACCGCGACACGTGCGCGGAAGCGCTGGAGGGCGTATTATCTTGTCTCCGAACTCTGCTTGAGCCGCAACGCGAGAATCATCGCGATCGTTCAAGAATGCTCGTACGGTTCATGATGCGCTGAGGGCCAGGCGAATATCGACGTTACCGAAAAATGTCAGAGCCTGCTAGACTACAGTATATTCAGATAAGAGATAGACCGGATGTAAACAAAAGGTTCGGGTGATTTTCACGCTAACGCCGCCGTCTCGACGTAAAACAGGAGCCCTCATTGGTCAATTCGCAATTAAATGCCTATGCCGAGCGGCAGAGCAGTCGTATCAAGGCAGAGTCACATTCAGGTTCAGACGTGTTACGTATGTCGTGTGCATCAATGCAATTTGATATTTCTTTGGACGTTTTCGTTTGTTATCTTATTAAGTTGTTGAGTTTGTCGTTGTTATTGTTATACCTTGTTATTGATTGTTATTGTTATCAACTGCTTGCGCAAAATGCCCAGTAGTACAGATACTGCCGATGAAGTTGTAACCTCCTGTAGTCCACCTAGGAAACGCTCTAAAAAAAGACACCTGAGTGCAGAGTGCATTTTGAATATATATAAGATCGAGCGCGAGGAGAACGAGGCATCAACCATCAAAGAAATTGTTGTGAAGGTTTCTCACAAAGTTGGGGTGTGTCGCGCATCAGTGTTTAATGTGTTAAGACAATACAAAAAAAATCACACCTTTTCTGAGCCAATGACCAGTAAACATCGCAAAAGTATTGTTAAATCATTGGATGAAGCTGATAAGCATGCGATTAGGAGGAAAGTGCATGAATTCTTCTTTAGGAATGAAATACCTACTATAGATAAAGTACTGCAGGAGGTAAATGGAGATACAACGTTGCCAAATTTCAAACGATTAACTTTCCATGCGTTACTGAAGCATTTAAATTTCAAATGGAAAAAACGGGGTCGTAATAGTTTACTACTGGATAGAGAAGAAATTGTGCTATGGAGGAGGGATTATTTAACAAAAATTTGGAAATATAGAAATCAAAACAGGAAGATTTATTACCTTGATGAAACGTGGGTAAACGCAGGACACACTACAAGTAAAGTATGGGTTGATGATTCTGTAACTTCATTCAGGAGGGCCTTTCTAGATGGACTGTCCACCAGATTAAAAAATCCAGCAGGTAAATACGAGTAATAGACAACAATCGGATGTTTTTCAAACCTTGGGAACAAGGTTCTAAACATTAATTCCAGGAGGCAGATAAAACATATTACAAGTAACAAAACTTTTATAACTTTCGATAAAATGCGTGGATGTTTTATTGTCATTTTCATTTGTTAGAACTTTTTTAAGCCATGTTTTTATGTGTTTTCGATATTTCAATAATTTTTTAATATAATCTTAAAATATGTCGAATATTATAAACTTAAAAAAAGTTACTATTCATACTTTAAGCTTTATAAAGTTATAATTTGTTAATATTAATATTTGCGCGTATTTCAGGTTCCTGATCATTCATTTTTTAAAGGTTTATAACTTTAAATTAAATTGTGAAGCGCTGAGTAATCATACGACGTTCAATATTCTTTCTTTCAATATGACTAAATAATCCCAATTATAGCAATCTGATACTCATGTCTCAATGTTTTTTCGCTGAATGTGATGAAAACATTTGAAAAAGGTTCGCTTATTGAAATAAATCTACACCAGTTAGTACTTCGATTTCCAGGTAAAGGGAAAAGGCTCATTATCTGCCATATTGGCAGTGAGGATGGATTTCTTGTTGACGGTCTGTGGTGCTTTGAGTCTAATAAAACTGGAGATTACCACGAGGAAATGAATGGCGAATCGTTTGAACAGTGGTTTTCAAAAATTTTACCGAACTTAGAGGAAAACGCAGCAATTGTGTTGGTTAATGCGCCTCATCATTCTCGAAAAATGGAAAAGGTCCCAACAACGGCTTCAAGGAAAGTTGATGTTCAAAATTGGCTCCGCTCGAAAAATATCAACTTTGAAGAAGCAATGCTGAAAGTACAATTATTAAGAATTGTCAAGGATCACAAGGCGGAATATCAAAAATACGCCATTGACGAAATGGCAGCAAGTCAAAATAAAACTGTGCTCCGTTTACCTCCATACCATTGCGAGCTCAATCCCACTTTTCAAAGAAGCAATAGAATTAATAACAGCGCAAAAAAGGTAAAACTGTATTAAGCACGTGAAAGACAAAGTTGAAAAGAGAATATGGGAACTGGACAATATTTTAGAGGAACAAGTCGAGCCATTCATTATTGACGTTGGTGCTTCAGGCAGTAGCGATGATGAAAGCTCATCAAGGTCATCTTTCCAATAAAAGATGTCGTTCATCAAATTTGGTAAGTTATAAGTAATTATAAAGCTACTGTATTTTTTAATTAATTATTGACATTTTTGAACCCATTTTGGCAAAACCTATTCAAGAATCTACTTTCTGACAATGTTCAACCATGCACATTTTTTTACGTTTTGAACGTTTTAATTTGGTTACATATTTACCTAGAAATCAAAAAATATACTAATCAATATTCTAAAAGCAATTTTAAGAGATATACGATTATTTTTAATTTAGGCTAATTTAAACGCCATTTTGAGATTATATTCGACTGTATTTCACCAAACATCAGGCGGCATCCGAAACTGGAAATCGAAGCGAAAATTTTGAAACCCTTATGTATATTTCCATCATTATATATTTCTTACCCCACCCCCACATGATCCTATATCCATCACCAATCGTATACACATCGAATTGTGCTAATTTACTACAAAGTTACGCAAAGCAGCATCTACTATCTAAAATATGTACTGCGTGACTCTTAATACGACCCTGCCGAATGTTACCGCGTTCGATGATCACGTGGACTTGTTTATGTCCGGTCTATCTCTTATCTGAATATACTGTATACCCTGTTCGTAGTCCGTTTACGCCCCGACACAACAGAGATGCAACGCGGCAAAGCGACAGCCGCCTAAGCGTTGCAATAGCTATTGGTCGTTCGGCCGTACAACTACGAACAGGTGCAAGATTCGACAGGGTAGAACTCAGGCTCGAGGTATCGCCGGCACGCCGACGCCGGCAGTTAGTATTCATATTCGGTGCACACGGCGTTTATACCTTGGCATGTCGTCTACGGATACAGCAGATGAAACTGAGAATATTTCTCCCAATGTTTCCTCTATAGTGATGTCTCCTCTCCGAAAACGTGGCAAGAAGAGGCATTTGCATATTCAGGCAGAAGGAATTAGCCTTAACGTTTGTAAGAGCAAAATTTTAGAATATTCTGAAATGAAAATTCATGATATTGAAGCATTACAGGAGGTTGATAGTGATGAAGGCTTACTTACTTTTAAAATAACCACATACTATAATTTACTCAAGGAACTTCATTTTGAGTATACAAAACGGGGCAGAAGTAGTATTTTGATCGACAGCTAAGAGATTATTTTATGGAGAAGATATTATTTAAAACCAATAAAGGAATACCGCGACCAGGGTAGGAAAATTTATTACTTGGACGAAACCTGGATAAATCCAGGACATACAATACCTAAAGTATGGGCTGACTCTACAATTAAATCAGCAAGAGAGTCCTTCTTAGATGAAAACTCAGTTATATCTGGTAGATTTGGAACGAACTCCTGTTATTCTGCTTGTACATATTATTACATATATGAAATGGACGGGAGTTCATTTGAACGATGGTTTGAAGAAACTCTTCCGAAGTTTGACAACAATGCATTCATTGTACTTTATAATGCTGCATACCACACCGGAAAACTAAA